CGGAGGAGGAAGAAGGCGTCTTTCATGCCCGGCCAGGGCACGCAGAACCAGGACGACGAGTGGATGTTGCAACACTATTTCGAGGTAAGTTAATTTTCTAAGTAGTAACTAAGTAGCTAAACTACAAGGAGAATGGTGACTTGTGCAGAACGTGGGCGAGAATCTGCAGGGGAACGACGAGGACTACAGAAAGGAGAAGCTGAATCAGATGATCGCGGACCCGAACCATCTGAAGAACATGGACAACCTCTTCAGGAAAGTTTTACAGAAGGTCTGCATCGAGGAAATCTTCTCTTTATAGAACTTTTTTTTTATTTTCTATCGCTTTTATCTTCAAATCATTGTTACACGAACAGGTTACGAGGAAAGCGATGGCGTACCTGATTGCAGCCGCTGCTCAAATCTCCCTGGAGAACACCGATAGGAAAGATTTAAAGGAAAAGCTGAAGGATTGTCTGGCGGGGCGTACCCAGCCCAATCAGACCTTCAACTTCTGGGAGGAGATTAACCCCACGAAAGAAAACGAAGGTAATATTTGAACTCGATCGACATCGCCGATCGCGACATTGATCTCTTATTATGTATTATGTTGCAAGACGTGTACTGGGATCCATCCTGTTCGGAAATGGAAAAATTCGCGCCGTTGAAGGTGTGCCGGACAATGGTAGCCAAACTGAACAGAGAGGACGCGCAAAAGTTCTACCAATCCTGCGTGATGTGGCTCACCGTCAACTACTGTGTAAGCAGCCGTTTTCAGGAGAGCTCTTTGACGCTACAACTACCCGTACCAGTCGAAATGGTTTCGATTCTTTTGTTTAGCAATTATCGATATCTTCGAAGCATTGAATATTCGAAATGACTTTGAAAATAAATAGCTTCGTTCGAGTACTACAGTGAATGCCCGAAGAAACTGAAAATAATCTGTTTTTCTCAACGATGGATTATTTTTTAAGATAAACATGTAATTCTCCGTTTCGCTTTTCTTTTTCGTTAGGATACATTTTAAGTGTAATTGTTCACCTGCATTTAACGAGTATACAGTTCGTTATTTGATTTTATTGAGATTCTTCTAAATTCCACACTTGACTGGTTAAATTGCTCGGTAGTTCTAGCGTTGAACGACAGCTACCGTTAACATGGGATACGTTTCAGACACGGACCGACGACCATCCAAAGATATGTAAAGAGTCGGTGTGCGCGAAGAACGCCATTTCCCGTTTCAATTCGATTTTGGGGTTGCCGTAGGAGCATTCTCTTCCCTGCACAGCGGACCACGATTGAACAGCGGCTACGACACGACCTGCTCGCGACAAACGTACCGTTCATCGTACGGAGTTGAAGAATGCGTAAAGCGGCGATGCGACCGAACCACAACACACACCGAACATCCTCTATCGCGAAACGGACGCGACTCCCTGGCGAGAATCCAACCTCGAGTCGAGATTCAGTTGGTGCAGTCGACTTTTGGTATTTACCTTATTTCAATGTCGGATTTCGCGAATCTAAATACTAAATTCCACACTGTCTTATTTGCGAGTCTCGTTTATTTTTATAAAGACGAAACGATAAGACGACACACGTAAAGGTAATCATTGACGGAGAAGAGAGATCGCTATCATCTTCCTTTCTCTCGTAACGATAATACCGATCAGAGGAAGATCGCCGACACGATAAAAAGAAATTCCTCAACCTTTCGAATGATTTATTACCTGATTGCGTCGAAAACTGTTCCGAGTTCGGATAGATCACTTTCTGGAGAAAATTGAATTACACGGAGGGACGAAATGGCGTCGCTTTTGTCGTCGGAGGACAACGATAATTGAAACGGTCTCGACATTAATTGTAACGGACAACGTCTAATACTAATAACCCAATATTCAAGGAGCAAACAAAGAACTCCTGTGCCGGTATCGTGCACGATATCGATTCTGATAAGGATAACGCCGATAATTGATAACTGCTAAACTACGAGTACTCGAAAGGTGCAGCATTGTCTAATGGTATAATAGAATTTATGTATATTTTGTTTTCTATGTGTATGCATATGTATATGTATATGTGTATGTATAACACAAAGAATGATACGAAATAGATACCAAAACGCAACATGTACCGAATCCGGTTCGGTGGAGAGTGAAAGAGGAGCGATACAACGTGATGTTAACTATAGTATGTATCCCCATTTCGGTCGAATAAGGAAAGTGTATTTAAAAATCTATTATTGTCTATCCTTAGGTTACGAAACTGTGGGTACAGTCTATGTGTCAGAGCTGTATTCGAATATAATACAAATATATTTCAACATAAGTGTACGCTTTCTGTTTGATTGATTCGTTTTCAGTGAACGCTGAACCAAAGAGTTCTCATTTGGATTTCGATTCGTTGTTCTCGTTAATGTTCGCCTCTGTCGTTTGCTCCAACAGCTCCGCGATCTTGAGCGTTACAGGACTGTATAGTTTCAAAAATTCCAGCTGCAACTTGGCGCACTCGACTGAAAATAAACGAGCAATAGGGATCGCATAGATATTTATCGTTATTCAAAGAAACAATGGGAACATTTCTCACGCTACCTCTCCATTTCGAGACCATCTCTAATTTCTTTCTCAACTCCACGTTCACGGTTTTCATTTGTAGAACAGTGTCTTTGCTTTGATCGGCCATTGCTCTTCTATTTTGTGGAACAATTGAATTTAATTCCACGACGCTTTCAAATTGAAAATTCGCTATTTACGGTGGGACGCTCAAATTGCAGTCACGTGACAGAGACTTCACTCGAGGAATGGATGTCAGGTGTCACCTAGCGGCGAGACTGTTAAACAAATTGGCTAGTAACTTGAAGATATTGCTCACAGATGTCGCGACGACGCCATTCGACCACGTTTTCTTACAATAAATCAAACGCGCATTAAAAATGCCAGGATTGCTAATTTTCTAATGTACAATATCACTTTTATAAACGTCGGGGAATATTTAGATGCTGGTAAAACGCTGGTAACGCCATACGATAATTCGTACAGCTGTTTTTGTATTTATTTTTTGTCATGATTTACATTGAATACATTGCATTAAGTGGAATGTGGTATTTATTATTGTAGAATAGAATTCTTTCTTCGGCTGTTTTTTTAGTCTATGACTTTTGAGTCGTTGGAGTGGGGCGAATGGTTTGGCGGAACGTCGGTCGTGACGCGTCGCTGCGAGCGGCAAGCGGCAAGCGTCCGTTCTCAAGACACGCCGTGACTGGTCGACGTTAGAAACACAGCTTGCGTTTGCACGCCGAAACCCCGCCAATCTACAATTACATAATCTATGATTACGAGAAAGTAGCGATGGCGTTTTATGGCCTGTGTTCTTTTGTGAGTAAAAAGTGGCGTTCTTGTTGGATTTTCTATGGGAGATCGGTTCATTAATGTGAGCCCTGTGATCAATATTGGAAAAGGTCGCACAAGTCTGACTAATTGGAGAAAGAAAGCGAAGAGGGAAAGACGAAAAGGTAGCGAGCGCGAGGAATATATGAGCTCCCGCTTTCGACGGCCGGCAAACGGATTTGTCTCTGGCGGCAAATGAAATATTTTAGTAAACTGACCAAAATAATTCCACCGAGAAACCAGCCTCCGCTGTATGTGATCGATTTTGGTACGTTTTAATCTTTATGATACGAAATTTTCACGAGATTGTCACGATCACATGACGTTCCCGCCGTAACCTTCCACACTCGTAAACACTGTATCTTTATATAGGGTGTCCTTGAATTTCGGTTCGAACTATCGGTAAACTTTATCGTGCCACGATCATTTTCCGACACCGATCGGTTTTTATCAACAGTATCTTAACTCGTAGGCGTCGCGAGAAATTTTTGCGTTGGAAATTTTCATCTGAACATTTTTATTTTAGTGTTTCACTGAAAAGTTTCTAACAATGTCAGAGTCAGAAAAGAAAGAGAACTGTGCGATAGAGTGTAAAGATATCGGTTCGGAAGGTTTGGACCAATGTAATAGCATGGAGAACAGCGGGGTCAGTTTAAACGAGAGTCAAGATTTTCATCTCGTAGACTTCGAAGACGATACTTCTTCGGATAAAGAAGGAAAGACTCCGGAAGTATCGCGTTATCCTTTAACCGGTAACATAGACACTGCGGCGAATGTGTCTGAAACCACAGCGGTAGAATCTAAATCGACTAATTCTGCCGAGGATCAAACTTTTAAGAAAGAAGATGCGGAAAGTACACAATTACCTCAAGTAACGGAAGAAGAAAAGGTAAAGGACGATGATAATACTTTGATAAATAAGGAGAAACTTGTTGATGACGAAGAGGAGGACGTTATACAATGTACCCCTCCTGAGGATTATTCGCCATCCAAAAAGCAGGTTCTTAGTAACACAGGTGTGACGAGCCTGAAACGAAAAGCAGGATCTTTCGACGAACCGCCCAAAAAGATTTTGAAAACCAGCCCCAACGAGGATACGTCTATGAACAATGAAAAAGATGCGCAAGAAGAAGAGAGTCAGTTGTTTAAAGCCGACGATACTCAGGCGGATTTTCCTAAAAACTGCATCGATGCTAACACGATAATTGCTGAAACTCAAGATGTTCCAGACGACGAAGTCACGGAAACGGCAACAGATAAATCGGTTAAAGATGAACAGCTGACAGAGGATTCTAAAACATATTTAGAATCGCGTGTACAAGAAGTAGATAAGAATGAAAATTTTAATGATACGGTGAAACCAAACGAAGCTTTCACAAGCAAAGAATTTAAAGATGAGAGCGACGCGAATGACCCAAACGAGGACAGTACATCGGTTTCCAAAACAGTTACTACAGAAAAAGTAACGTCAGATAAGAATAATACGAGTGCAATGGACTTGAACCCGAATGAAGACTCGAACAGTAATACACGGGATATGAAAATAGTACAAGATAATAAGGTGGACGAGAAAGAAAGCGACGTTGAATCTACGAGACACTTAAATGAAAAGCCTAAAGAAACTCGAGAAATATCGGATTCCGACAAAACAAGTGAATCTCATTCCAACGTAAACTCTGAAGCTACGATTAAAAACAGAATGAGCATAGAACTTATATACGACAGAACTGCGATTCAAGAAATGAAAACAAAGCCCAAGGAATTGGTAGAGATCGACGAGGATGGAGAGAAGATTGTACTAGATTCTTCGGAAGAAGATTGCGACATAAAAACGGATGGTAAGAAAACTTTGGATGATACGAAAGCCGAAACAATATACAAAAGTTGCTACGACAGTAAGAGCAGTAGCGAGTTTAGTTACAAATCGGTGGGAACCGCTAAAGAGTCGTCTCTCGAATCAGCGAAATCTAGCAGTAAACTTGTCAACGGAAGTACAGAGTCCAAAAGGTGTGATACGGACAGTACGTCTAGCTTGCAATCGGACACTTTTAACGATACGCCGATCACAGCCGACAAAACAGACCACAATATTGCTATGCTCGTACAAAGCGTACACAGACAAAACAAAGCGGTCGCTTCTTCCAAGGACAATGATCACGCTGATCTATTGAGCGTAAGCGACAACGAACCCGACGTTTTTATTATGGACGACAAAAGTAAATCAAACTTAACTCACGGTAGTTCTATAACAAAGGCTCTGCACATGGAAAAAGAAATTGGTATATATATCAGAATGAAATGTTTACTACAAGTCGAAGAAGGTACAAAGGAATTCCTAAGCAAGGAGATCACTGGCGTGCAGTGTGAAGCTGTCGCGGAGCCAACATCGATACGTCAGAAAAACAACGATACCTCTGCCTCTTTGGCAGACATTTCCGGGAACGACAATAAGGATGCGTCTCCAGGATCTATAAACAGTAATCCTCAGTTGTATCCGTTGAACCCTTCTAGACTTTCATTCGCATCCACTATCAGTTCTTTGAGTTCCGTATCCAGTGCTGCGTCATTGGCAGTGAAGCTCGCGATGCGAGACAGCTCGCATTTCTCTCTACCGAAAGCACCCGCGAAGCACGCGAAGAAGCACGTCACCGACATGCATTCGTTCACCGACAAGCAGACGATAGACGAAGCGTACGATCGTCTCAGTAAGGAGTGGCAAAACAGTCGACTCCTCACGACAAGCGTTTTGAATTTTCTAAACGGAGAGCTGAGCGGCGTCGACACGTACAATGCGAGCAATGAAAGGATAGACGATCAGTTACAGAAGATCCGCTCCTCCACGCCGGAAGTCCCGCTGGAAGCGGTTCAAGCGCAAACTCCTAAAAGCACAAGAAAGAACAAAGCGGTGAAGAGGCCAAGAAGCAAAAGCACCAAATTGGATAATCAGTCGAATGGACTGAACAAAGCTTTGTCAAAGGCATTAAGTCCCACGGAGAACAATGACACGCCGAGTAAGAAGAAAAGTAAAACAGAGCACACGGACGTCGCCTTGAGTACCGTTGACGTTTCAACGAAACTACCGGTGTCACAGTCGATGGTGGACGACCTGATTAGAAAGGACGTGTTCGCTAAATGGTCCGACAATAATTACTACCCCGGTACGGTTATCGACAAAGTGAAAACAAAGTATAAGGTACATTTCTACGATGGGAAGAATAAAGTGCTCATCGAGGACTTCATTATAACGATACCGAAAGTTTTGAAAACAGGCCTGTCCGTCTACGCTATCACTAAGAACGACGATTACGGATCCTGCGGTATAATCGTCGATGTCCATACTGTAAATAACGAAGTATATTATACAGTAGAAACAGACGAGGGGGAGAAATTGAAGGTTCAAGTTAAGGATATCTTTCTGTCTTTCGATCAAGCTCAAGTGTTGAAGGAACTGAACTCGGAGAACAAAAGTCTTCCAACCACGCCGAAGCATTTAGGTCAAGTATCTTTAGATAATATGGTCGACGGTAAAAGGCGCTCCAGAAGAATCGGCACCCCGGTCTTTTCGACGCCCAAGTCGAAATTAACGCACACGCCCGCGGCGAAGAACATAGCGGAGCCGTCCGTTTCCGGCGTTGCGTCGACGCTCGCGAAAGAGAAGAAGCCGATTTTCGAGAGCGACGGAGTGTCCAGCGATTCGAACATCTCCGTGTCGGACGATATATTGTTCATCGGCGTGCAGCCGGAAATAATTGGGACTCCTCACGAGCAGATCGTGAAAGGACCGCAGAGTCGCATTAAAGGCAAACCGAGAAGTAAGAAGAAAGTCGACGACGAGCAGACGATCGCGACGTTCGGCCCGATACCGAGCAAGGACTCGAATCTGTTTAAAGGCATGTCCTTCATCTTGACCTGTGCGCCGTTGGAGACTCTCGATCGGTACCAGTCCGACATCAAGGATTGCAGTTCGGATCCGGGAACAGAGAACGAGGAGGAGTGGTCGAAGAAACCGTTCGTCAGAGACAGATTGGTCATGCAGATATCAGCCGGCGGTGGGAAAGTTTACACGGACTTTAATGAAATCCCAGAAGATGAATACAAAAGTACAAAACTAATAACAAACGTGCCAAACACAACTGCGAAGACTTTACTGTGTCTTTCAGTGGGTATACCCGCGTACAATCACAACTGGATCATAAGGTGTTGCCAAGAGGTGAGTGTTACAATGAAGTAGAATTAATTGGTCGCTGGAATTAATTTGGCGTTTATCGATTAATCTTGTGGATTTTGTTTGACAGGGAAAGATCGTGAATCCAGCGGAGGACGAGCTACCCGCGGGATGGAGTTTGGATAAGAAGTCGTATATCGAAATGTTTCAGCGACCCAGCAACAAACCATTGACGGAGGTTGTTGTAATAATTCCAAATATAGAATCGGAGAAGTTGTTTGTCATATTTTGGCGAAAAGTGTGCGAGAACATGGGTGCTGTTGTTTTATTAGCAGATAAACCTGGTACGTTGATCCACACGGTTAATGATTGCAAATATCTTCCGAAAGATAATTACTATGTAAGAATATTAAACATTGTTCCAGATGCAATGGAAAGTTTCGTGGAAGGAACAGTGGTTGTCACAAACAAGTCGTGTCCATCGTGGGTAGTAGAAAAGGCCAGTGAATTACAAATTCCGTTGCTTTCTACAACATGGGTTGTTCAGTGTCTAATAGAGGGGAAATTATGTCGAGACGACAGGCAACTTCGTTATAAATATAATTATACGCAGAATTAGGTACATTTATTTGTCGAAACTACTTTTTGAGTTGAAAAGCAGGTAGAATCCTGTCTTTGCGGATTATAAAATCTTTATTTTTATTGTATTACTCTGGATTATTTGTTTAAGCAATTTATGTATTACAAAGTAACTAATACTTTAAAGTATTGCTTTGATACTTGCCTACGATAACTGAAAAATCCATTCATTCTGTGAGTGTCCGTTAAGGATTAAGTTCTTAACAGTCGAGTATGTTTCATTGGAAGAAATGTGTGTAAAGATAATATTTATGCCCGAAATATCGAAACATATTTTATACGATAATATTCTGTACTATATGGATATCTGATGTGAAGGTTTCTCTTACTATGACTACTCGATATACGGAAGCCAAGTATGCATAACAACATACGATGTCGCTTATCATAAATAGAAAGCTATAGGCATTAGAATTTTGTAACATTTTGTATAAATTGAATTCGAAATGGAAAATCACTTTTATAAGAAACTAATTGTAATGTTAAAGAAGAAAACGTCACATTATGATTCTTGATCATAATCTATGATAATTAAATGTCTCGCCACTTGTCTGATTTCACGTT